GATTCCTAGTTACGTATAAAATATATAGGTTGATGGTTCGCTCTGATTTTTTCAGATACATCTGATCCATTTATTTGCGTCAAGTTATTTTCCAAGATGATCCACAGTACATCCTGAAAATGTTCTCAATCTCCTCAAATGCAGCCCCCAAATTAAAAACCGGGTAACAAAGTCATTTCTTACTGCCAGCTACACCATATTCAACAGAAACGTTCACATGCTCTGGTCCCTCATATTCACATACTCTGGTCCCTCATAAACGTTCACATGCTCTGGTCCCTCAGCTTATTTTTAAAGACACCCAGAGAAGACAGTGCAATTTCTAAGGTTATGCGGTTTGGCCCCTTTTATTATGGAGAATTCTAACCTTCCTTGCTTTTAATACCCACTCATGCAGTTACTGAACTAACTCTCACTGAGCACCTATGACATGCCAGGCAATGTTTCCTTGGATGTGCTAGTATCTTTTCTCCTCTAGGCTTTCTTAAATCTGTATCTAATCTCTCTTCCTACTCTAAGTCTTTCTTTGTACAGCCCACCAGCGTGGTTACCTACGTTTTAGCTTCCGAAACTACATCTCTGATCCTGTCACTTCCCTGTTTCAAATGTGGATGGCTTACCTCTGCTCGCAGGTGGACCGCTGGGTATAACCCAAACATCCTGTGGATTTTTAAACCCCATGCTTTGGCTTATTCCCTCTCCTAAGAATTTATACACCCCACCCCCTGACTCATCTGCCAAAATTCTATCCGTCCTTCAAGTTCTATATTACTTTCTTTGGGAAGCTTTTCCTGATCCTGTTTGGCAAAATAAATGGCTCACTCCTCTAAGCTCAGGTAACATTTTGTTCAAATTCCATCTCTTTTCACTCTTTTTTTATGTGTTTGTCTTACCTGCCAGACTGTAAGCACATCAAAGGCAGAGTCTGCCTTACTGTGCTAACACACAGTGCCTTAAAAAGGATGATGGTTTTTATGGGCCAGGTAGACATGAGCTGTTGATTGACTGAAACATCTATATAGTTGGAGATTTTTGTTTTGTTTGTTTGTTTGGTTTGGTTTGGTTCAGGCCAAATAAAGTTGTGAACTTTAAACTTGAGTTTTACTCACTGGCCTTCTTTCTTGACCTAAGTGGTAGCTGTGCAGTAGACTCTGGTATAATGATACAGTGAGAGTCTGACCACAGAGAGGATTCATCACCAGCGCCTCAGTGCCCTCCTCTGCTCTGTCCTGTTTGACCACAGTCGGCTGCTAATTAGGTCAAGAGCCAGGTTCAGTTCCTGACTTTCCAGTTAGTTTCTCCCTATTCCTGTGCCCCAACTAGTAACCTGACAAAAGTGTCCTGGTGACTGGTCCCAAGGTGAGAAAGCAGATAATAATCCACAGATAAAGCAGTGTCCATCCATCAGCAATACTGGGACCATAAGTCAAATCCATTATCTGCGTGTTTTCAATTCATTTCTATAGATGCCTTCACAGGTCTATTTCCTAGAACCCCAGACCCTGAAGTTATTTAAAGGGACAAAGAAATTGAACAAAAGGAGCCAAACATCTACTGTTTCTTACACCGATACTGAGAGTTTTGACCAAACAAAGACACAGACCAAAGGAAGTGACTCCTGAAGATTTCGAGTACCTATTTCCATGCTCAAACTGAGGATAACGGTAAGGAAAAGGGTAAGCCTGGCACAATACAGCTAACTGGACTCTCCCGGCTTCTACTTCATGGTTTAGATAATCATTTTGTAATTGTATACAAAATGTACACAATGTAATTGTATATTTGGAAGCTTGGGTTTCATTCACCTCTCTTAAAATCTGTAAGAAAATTTAAAAATGTAAACTCCAAGCCATCTCTTTTCCTCTCTTCAGAAGTGAATGAAAATCCCTAGAGGCTGATGCTTCTATAGCCAAGGATATCACACCTCTTTTCTCTCAATGGTTCATCTCTTACTTACTCTCTTTCATGTTGCTTCAAATTAAAATATAAAAGATTAAAAAAATATATATATAAGATATATTAAAAATACTAAAATTGGGAAGGATTGTGGAGAACTTTTATCTTTCTTGTCTCCCAGAGAGTCCCTACACTCTACACAAAGAAGGAAAACAGAGAAGAGGACAGAATTCATTCCTAGATTGAAAAAAGAAATATTCTTAAGGAAGGGAAACCCAGGGAAACAAATTATTCTCAAGCAGTTTAAAGTCTCATCATAGTAAAATATTATCATTTTATGTAAGCAATGTTCACTTACTGATGCACTATGAAATGAAACAATATAGAAAAGAAGGTTAGATTTAGGTTTAAAAAAAAAAATTGAAACACCATTTCTCTTTTTATCTGAGTCCCACCAGATTTCAACACTGGGGGCTTAGGAACCTTCGGAGACTCTGTTTTTGCTTGTCTCTATAATCAGAAGTAATTCACAATTCAATTTAGTAACATCAAACAGTAAAACCTCAACTATATTAACTGACATTTCTTTTAGTTAGTCTGAATTCGTTAAAATCAGCGGGTGATGTTTTTTTCCAGGGGCATGCACGTCCTCTTCCAATATGACAAGTCAACGGAAAACACAAACAGCCCTGCTGCAGCTCAAGTAATCGGCTACTGCCTCTAGGCTGAGCCCCAGCGACATGGCCGCTGCACAGGGAAAGAGGCGACGCTTTCTCTGGAACGCTTCCATGAAAGGGTCTAAGGGGAACCCAGCAGTAAGTTATTGTAAGACCACCACGGATTTTAATGGATATCTAATCATCTGCAGAAAGAAGCACACTTATAAAAGAGAGGTTCCATCCTTCCACGACCTAAACATTTTGAATGTTTACAACTTTGTTCTTTCAAGGGTAAAAACACCTATAAAACATTATGAAGATGATTAAAAATGGTTACAGTTCTTATTTAATCATTCCCAAATCTACCTGATCTACATTTTAAAATTTACCAAGACTCTGAATATAAGATTTGTACGAAAAGAGAAGATACGACCAGGCCTAAGCTCCCAAGATTTGAACAACTTAGGGCAAAGCCCTTATTTCTTTTGGTCGACTTTTTCTTCATTCCAATTTGTACTTGTTTAGTCTGTCAAAGCCCAAGAAAATCCCTGGCCAGGGGTGCTCTATATGAGAACAGTGCCATGTGAGGCAGGGCGGCCTCCACTGCTCCCTAAAAAGCTGACAAATCTACCAATAGCCAAGAGTCTAAGACTGGGGGATCTTTGGGTGGAAGAAATACTACACTTCATTCCGGCACCATTCTCCCAACCAGTCCTCCTCATCCAGAGAGCTGTGAGCAATACAGGAGAACAAGAGTAATTCACTGTGATTGTCGGCTCTGCCCCAGGAGGAGACTTAAGCAGTCTGGCGAAGACAGAAATGGAATAACACAGCTGAGCAGAGCATGCGGGCTGCCTGAACACTTGGTCAGAGGGGATCCCACTGGGGAGGTTTTCAGTCCCAGGGCAGCTGGAGTACGGCTAAGCTGAAATTCCAGGTGGACAGTGTAGTGTGATGCCAGCAACGTGTGCACTGTGTCTAGCAGGAGTACAGGTAAATCAGATTAGAACAGGAAGCTCGGTTGGTCTGATTTCTGACTGGCTGTTTTTATCACAGGACTAACATTTCTGAACCCTTCATAGATGGTATGACCATCATGAGGGTCTGTGGCAAAGGTACAGTTTGGGTCCTGTCTGGTCTAGCCACGGACATAGCATTAAAAGCCAAGATTAGGATTTGGACCTGGGATAAGTCTTGAGAAAAGGTGAATTCAATGGGTGGCTTTCTCCTTGTAAAAAGGACTAGACATGAATTTTAAAGTCAAGATCTTGCAGGATCTCATCTTCCTTTTGGTGTTTCAAAGCTTATTTTAAATATGTTCTCTTTTAACCCATGCTGCACTTCCCCACGGTTAACATGGCAAATTTCACACATGTAGAAAGTCATGCAGTTGAATGATTTTACCTTTGCCTGCACCTACATCAGGTGGGAGAATACCAGCTTTCATGAAGGGAAACAGAAATAGGACACTATATAGTTAGCATGTAAAGCTACATAAAAACACTTCTTAAAATGCTAAAGCATGCAAGAAGAATGGAGTGTACCACATCAGGTACAGGGGACAAAGGTACGTTTTTGTTCCCAAACTTACCAGTAATCAAATCCCCACATTACTTAAAGTGCTTTATTTGTACTTGCCTATTATGTAAGAAGGCTTAGGAGATTTCAAACCAATTTTGGGGTAAAAATGTCAATTTCTTATGCTATGGAAGATAATCAAATAAATGATCCTTAAGCAATTCTACAATCTAGAGACATGCAAAATCTTTTACAATGCTTTTGATCATTTTCATCGAATCTCAAGTTTTTCAAAATCATTTTTAAAAGTAGTAAAGGAAGTGTTCATTCTTTTTCTAAATACATTTAATGGGGCTCTTTTGCTTTCTGTACCAGATGGCATAGCAAACTATGAAGTCCCATGCTCAAACACGAAGTAAATACTTTATTTAATAACTGTTTTGATTTCCTTGCTAGAAAACCTAAATCAGTATGTAGACTAGCAAATTATTTTCTGGTGAATCAAGATCAGAACCACAGTTACATATATTTATTTGTGTATACGTATGCATGTCTGTGTGTGCGTGTGTGTATTACACAGATGTGTATGTGTGTATATATGTAAAGTTGTAGATAGGAAAAAACATTGCCGTGAACTCTGAATTTAAATGTGGCAAAATACTGTAATTTCCCACTCTCACCTCAATATTTTACTGTAAGTTTAAAAATTTCATAGGGACTTAAAAAACAAACATCAAATCATTATTCCAGTATGAATTAAACAGCTGCTTATATATATGTATCAGAATGAGAGGTTACAAATAAGTGTTTGTATTAATTGGGTAACATGGATACTTCCATGGTAAGAAGGAAAGAAAAAGCATAAACTTAAAGATTTTTGTCTCACGATACGTCTAGTTATATGGATTTTATACATACCCATCTTACCTTCATCCACAGTTGTTATTGCTTCCTCTGTTATTTGATTTCCTGATCCTGCTGCTGTTTGTGCATAGAAATAAAATTTATACCGAGTGCTGAAATTTAAATTTTTTAAAGTCCAGCGGGTCTTGTTGGCAGGAATTTTCAAATCCACCAGAGGGCCTAATTCATGGGTGCTGTTAACTGTCAATAAGAATATAAACAAAATAAAGTAATAAAATAAATGAACAAACCAAACGAAAACAAACACACTGATACAGAGAACAGAACAATGGTCACCAGAAGGGAAGGGGAATGGGGGGAGGTTGAAATGGGTAAAGGGGTCAACTGGATGGAAACTAAACATTTAGTGGTAGGCACGCTGTAGTGTATATGGAAGTCAAAATACAGTGTTGTACACATGAAACTTACATAATTTTATAAACCAATGTTACCTCCATTAAAAAAAAAGGACAAAGTGCATTCCCCATTCATTGCTGTAGGAATACTATCGTAAATAAATGTGTCAACCAAAAATGTTAAACCTGGACTACACTGACTTTTGTAATCCTACTCACTCTTTGTCCGACATAATTGATAAACTTACATAGTCCTATAATTGGGGGATTGGGATTGACATACACACACTACTACATATAAAATAGATAACTAATAAGGGCCTACTGTATAGCACAGGGAACATTATTCAACACTCTGTAATGGCCTACATGGGAAAAGAATCTAAAAAGAGAGTGGATATATGTATATGTATAACTGATTCACTTTGCTGTACACCTGAAACTAACACAGCATTATAAATCAACTATACTCCAATAAAACTTTTTTAAAAAGATAATCTCAAGGTCCACACTGCGATTCTAATACAAATGCATATATTAATATATGTATGTATATATGTAAATATATATACATAGATATTTAATTTTGTTTTTGCATACGTTTTAAATATAAAAAAATCAACTATGGGATAAACCATAAAAAAAAATCCTATAATATGGTGTAACAAGGGGAAATACATTTTCCATGGGCTTCTAAGCTGGGAAAATTTTCTGGTTGAATCGCAATAGCATTTCTCATGTCTTTGTTTTTGCAGGTGGAGTCATGGGTTGTTAAATAATCCTAAATCTCATCTTCAGAGGCCTTGTGCCAAAGAAACCCCTCTTCTTACCATTCGCTGGTTATACAATACATGACGCCTACATACATAATGACAGCACGCACCTAAACCCCGTGCTCAAGGTCTGTATTATTCTACACGTTATTTAATTTTCAAAAGCACGTGTCATTTTTCTTTAAAAAGTATGATTTGAAGTTCCTTCTAGAATGACACTTGAAGGTGTATGTATATATCCTACATCTGTAAAGAAATACCCCGTTTGTATTTTAAGATAACAGTTTTTTTCCTTCGTAAACCGTATTTCCCTGTTACCTTCTCCCCATAACTTACTTGGCTGATATTTTAAGGTGTACTCTGTCAAAACGCCATTCGGGTGGCTTGGTGGCTCCCATTCCAAAGTGAGAGAATCTAGCGTTGGATTAACAATCTTCAAAGAGGATGGAGCGCTGGGGACTTCAAATGAGACATACAGTCAACACAAAGGTTTCTGAATGTTTCAAACTGTATTAAAGTGAAATATTTCACCAGGTCCACACAACTCATCAAGATTTTTTTTTTTTTGGCTGCACCAGACGGCATGTGGGATATTAGATCCCTGACCCGGGTTCGAACCCGTGCCCCCTGCAGAAGTGTGGAGCCCTAACCACTGGACTGCCAGGGAATTCCCCAAGGTTTTTGTCCTCTGTAACTCAGTTTTGTTCCTGATTCAGCTGAAAATACGTTAATAGAAACCTGTTGCGCTTTTCCTCACCATTTCCATTTAGATTCATTAAAACCATCCTCTCCAAATACATAAGGGCTTTGCCTTTATATGGACCCAAACCAATGGTTTTAAAAGAGATGGTACTTGTTTGTTTTGTGAATGGGGTCTTAATAAAAGTGAACTAGTGACTGAGTGGAACTATTCTAACCAGACTAACCAGACTGTTGAGTAGAAGCAGCTATGTTCTTTCTGGGCTATTAAAGACTGTTTTCTCCAACAAATCAGGAGTCTCCAAACAGTCAGAACACCCTGGCTGCCGGGCTCTGGGCCTGAGCCAGCCCCCGCCCCAAGCGCAGAGGAGCTCTTATCCGGAGAGCTGAGAGACACCCGGCAGCTCGTAGTGATGGACAACGGCCCGGGTGCTGGCACACCCCTGGCTCTGGGGAAGGAGTGCAGGGTGTCAGGTTGTCCGTGGCAGAGGCTGGCAAATTACCAGCGGAAACATGCCTGGTCTTTTATTCACCTCCTCAGAGCATGATGGATGATGGCAGCCCTCCCTCACGATCGTGACCTTCTCTACCCAACCTACCATGTTCCCTAAACCCTCCTGTCCCTCTAGCCAGAAACCAGGCAGTCGAGCTGAATTTCCCCCTCTGCCTCATTTCCACCATCACCTGGGACACTAAATCCTGCTGCACCCACCCTGCTATGCCACTGCCCCCCTTCAGACCCTCGGTGGTCTTTGCCTAGAACAGTCCTGGCCCATAGTTCTAAGCTTCCGCAAATCACCCCTTTGAGAATCTGATGACAGCCACAAACTCTCCCCAGAAAAATATACGCACCTTGTATATAACATTAGGGGGTTCATGGAGCTCCTTAAACCCATTCATTGACACTGAAGAGACTACCATCCTCAGGTTAAGAGCTTCTGGCTTGAGGGTTAATATCCACAGCATTTAACACCATCCATCATTCTGGTCCTCCCTAGCTGACCTTCCTCCCTTTTCTCACAGTTCTCGGCTGCCTGACTTACCGTTCCCTGAAGGAGCCATGCTGTTCCTTACCTTTGTGTCTTTGGACAGACTACTCTTCTCTTGTCTGTTCTTTAATCCCCTGGTTCTCTTTTCTATGGCACCTTCCCCTGAGCCATCTAAAGGGCCACTGTAGGGTCTCACTAGCGAAAGCCTCTAGTGGGAGGAGCCCAGAGCCTCCAAGGAGCAACGAGGCTGAGGACAAGGCATTGTAATGAGACGGGAGGTGGACACAGACGATTCTCAGAGGCTGTTGGGTAGCTGCCAACACCATGAGCCCTTCAACCAGGAGGCAGGACAGGGTTTGTCTGTGACCTGCTTTTAACCACACCTGGGAATATATCCGGAAAAAACAAAAACACTAATTCAAAAAGATACATGCGCCCCAACGTTCACAGCAGCATTATTTACAATAGCCCAGGCATGGAAGCAACCTAAGTGTTCATCAATAGATGAATGGATAAAGAAGATGTGGTACATATCTGCAGTGGAATACTACTCAGTCATAAAAAAGACGGTACACCCGTAACTTACATAATATTGTATAGCAACTATACTTTAATAAAAAAAGAATTGTCCTCTAAAATAAAATTGTAACCAAAATGTTTATTTAAAAAAAAAGACCAGGGCTTCCCTGGTGGCGCAGTGGTTGAGTCCGCCTGCCGATGCAGGGGACGTGGGTTCGTGCCCCGGTCCAGGAAGATCCCACATGCCGCGGAGCGGCTGGGCCCGTGAGCCACGGCCGCTGGGCCTGCGCGTCCGGAGCCTGTGCTCTGCAACGGGAGAGGCCACAGCAGTGAGAGGGCTGTGTACCACAAAAAAAAAAAAAAAAAAAAGACCTAAGCAATCCACAGCAGCTATCTGGATCATTTTCAATACTGGCTTGAGGCAAAATTCAAGATAAGCAAAGGCCATGCTGGTGCCTTTCTTACTACATGGTCCTCTCTCCTCATCCACTAGGCTCCCAGGTGTCCGTGTCCTGACCCCTCCGGCCCCCGCTCCTGCACCAGCTGTGTGTGGTTCTCCCTTCCTCCTCCCCTTGCATGGCCCACACTTGCAATGACGCTTCCATTCTCTTCCCAACACATTCTGTCAAGACGGCCAACCTTCTAACTCAGTTCCACGCTAGCATGAACTGCAAAGGTGCACTGAGAAAGAAGTAAACTACAACCTAGAGGATTCTCTTCCTTTCCAGATATTTTTCTTAGGTGATCACATCTAGTTCTCATGCTTTCTGGCTAAGGTAACTGAGGTTTAGAGAAATTGTATAACTTGCTTCAGGTCAGAAAGTTAATGACCCAAGTCAGCATCAAATTAGCAAGATTCTACAACCTAAGCGTCCATCAACAGATAAATGGATAAAAAAGCTGTGGTATATATATACATATACATACACACACACACACACAATGGAATACTACTCAGCCATAAAAAGAATGGAATTTTGCCATTTGTAGCAACATGGATGGACTTGGAGGGTATTATACTAAGTAAAATAAGCCAGACAGCGGAAGAAATACTGTATGATAGTGCTTATATGTGGAATCTAAAAAATACAATAAAGTAGTGAGTACAACATAAAAGAAGCAGATTCACAAATGCAGAGAATGAACTAGTGGTTACCAGTGGGAGGGACTGGGAGGTACAGACTATTGGAGGTAAGACAGGTGCAAGGGGGAATCGGGAAGATGGCGGAAGAGTAAGACACGGAGATCACCTTCCTCCCCACAGATACACAAGAAATATATCTACACATGGAACAACTCCTACAGAACACCTACTGAATACTGGCAGAAGACCTCAGACCTCCCAAAAGGCAAGAAACTCCGCCACGTACCCGGGCAGAGCAAAAGAAAAAAGAATAAACAGAGACAAAAGGATAAGGACAGGACCTGCACCAGTGGGAAGGAGCCGTGAAGGAGGAAAGGTTTCCACACAGCAGGAAGCCCCTTCGCGGGCGGAGACTGCGGGTGGCGGAGGGGGGAAGCTTTGGAGCCACGGAGGAGAGCACAGCAACAGGGGTGCGGAGGGCAAAGCGGAGAGATTCCCGCACAGAGGATCGGTGCCAACCGGCACTCACCAGCACGAGAGGCTTGTCTGCTCGGGCGGGTGGGGCTGGGAGCTGAGGCTCGGGCTTCGTTCGGAGCACAGGGAGAGGACTGGGGCTGGCGGCGGGAACACAGCCTGCAGGGGAATAGCGCACCACGGCTAGCCGGGAGGGAGTCCGGGGAAAAGTCTGGCCCTGCCGAAGAGGCAAGAGACTTTTTCTTCCCTCTTTGTTTCCTGGTTCACGAGGAGTGGGGATTAAGAGCGCTGCGTAAAGGAGCTCCAGAGACGGGCGCAAGCCGGGGCTAAAAGCGCGGACCCCAGAGACGGGCATGAGACGCTAAAGCTGCTGCTGCCGCCACCAAGAAGCCTGTGTGCGAGCACAGGTCACTATCCACACGTCCCTTCTGGGGAGCCTGTGCAGCCCGCCACTGTCAGGGTCCCGGGATCCAGGGACAACTTCCCCGGGAGAACACACGGCGCGCCTCAGGCTGGTGCAACATCACGCCGGCCTCTGCCACTGCAGGCTCGCCCTGCACTCCGTGCCCCTCCCTCCTCCCACCTGAGTGAGCCAGAGCCCCCGAATCAGCGGCTCCTTTAACCCCGTCCTGTCTGAGTGAAGAACAGATGCCCTCTGGCGACCTACACGCAGAGGCAGGGCCAAATCCAAAGCTGAGCCCCTGGGAGCTGTGAGAACAAAGAAGAGAAAGGGAAATCTCTCCCAGCAGCCTCAGAAGCAGCGGATTAAAGCTCCACAATCAACTTGATGTACCTGCATCTGTGGAATACATGAATAGACAACCAATCATCCCAAATTGAGGAGGTGGACTTTGAGAGCAAGATTTATTATTTTTTCCCCTTTTCCTCTTTTTGTGTGTATGTGTATGCTTCTTCGTGAGATTTTGTCTGTATAGCTTTGCTTTCAACATTTGTCCTAGGGTTCTATCCGTCCGTTTCTTTTTTTCCTTAAAAAATGTTTTTTCTTAATAATAGTAAAAATTATTATTATTTTTTGCGGTACGTGGGCTTCTCACTGTTGTGGTCTGTCCCGTTGTGGAGCACAGGCTCCGGACGTGCAGGCTCAGCGGCCATGGCTCACGGGCCCAGCCGCTCCGCGGCATGTGGGATCTTCCCGGACCGGGGCGCGAACCCGTGTCCCCTGCATCGGCAAGCGGACTCTCAACCACTGCGCCTCCAGGGAAGCCCTATTTTTTTTTTAATAACTTTATTTTATTTTATCTTACTTTATTTTATCCTCTTTCCTCTTTCTTTTCTTTCTTTCTTCCTTCCTTCCTTCCTCCCTCTCTCTCTCTCCCTCTTTCTTTCTTTCTACTTTTTCTCCCTTTTATTCTGAGCCGTGTGGATGAAAGGCTCTTGGTGCGGCAGCCAGGAGTCAGTGCTGTGCCTCTGAGGTGGGAGAGCCAACTTCAGGACACTGGTCCACAAGAGACCTCCCAGCTCCACATAATATCAAACAGCGAAAATCTCCCAGAGATCTCCATCTCAACACCAGCACCCAGCTTCACTCAACGACCAGCAAGCTACAGTGCTGGACACCCTATGCCAAACAACTAGCAAGACAGGAACACAACCCCACCCATTTGCAGAGAGGCTACCTAAAATCATAATAAGGCCACAGACACCCCAAAACACACCACCAGACGTGGACGTGCGCACCAGAAAGACAAGATCCAGCCTCATCCACCAGAACACAGGCACTAGTCCCCTCCACCAGGAAGCCTACACAACCCATTGAACCAACTTTAGCCACTGGGGACAGACACCAAAAACAACGGGAACTATGAACCTGCAGCCTGCAAAAAGGAGACCCCAAACACAGTAAGATAAGCAAAATGACAAGACAGAGAAACACACAGCAGATGAAGGAGCAAGATAAAAACCCCCAGACCTAACAAATGAAGAGGAAATAGGCAGTCTACCTGAAAAAGAATTCAGAATAATGATAGTAAAGATGATCCAAAATCTTGGAAATAGAATAGAGAAAATGCAAGAAACATTTAACAAGGAACTAGAAGAACTAAAGATGAAACAAGCAACGATGAACAACACAATAAATGAAATTAAAAATACTCTAGATGGGATCAATAGCAGAATAACTGAGGCAGAAGAACAGATAAGTGACCTGGAAAGTGACCTGGAAGATAAAATAGTGGAAATAACTACTGCAGAGCAGAATAAAGAAAAAAGAATGAAAAGAACTGAGGACAGTCTCAGAGACCCCTGGGACAACATTAAACGCACCAACATTCGAATTAGAGGGGTTCCAGAAGAAGAAGAGAAAAAGAAAGGGACTGAGAAAATATTTGAAGAGACTATAGTTGAAACCTTCCCTAACATGGGAAAGGAAACAGTTAATCAAGTCCAGGAAGCACAGCAAGTCCCATACAGGATAAATCCAAGGAGAAACACGCCAAGACACATATTAATCAAACTTTCAAAAATTAAATACAAAGAAAACATATTAAAAGCAGCAAGGGAAAAACAACAAAAAACACACAAGGGAATCCCCATAAGGTTAACAGCTGATCTTTCAGCAGAAACTCTGCAAGCCAGAAGGGACTGGCAGGACATATTTAAAGTGATGAAGGAGAAAAACCTACAACCAAGATTACTCTACCCAGCAAGGATCTCATTCAGATTTGATGGAGAAATTAAAACCTTTACAGACAAGCAAAAGCTGAGAGAGTTCAGCACCACCAAACCAGCTTTACAACAAATGCTAAAGGACCTTCTCTAGGCAAGAAACACAAGAGAAGGAAAAGACCTACAATAACAAACCCAAAACAATTAAGAAAATGGGAATAGGAACATACATATCAATAATTACCTTAAATGTAAATGGATTAAATGCTCCCACCAAAAGACACAGACTGGCTGAATGGATACAAAAACAAGACCCATCTATATGCTGCCTACAAGAGACCCACTTCAGACCTAGAGACACATACAGACTGAAAGTGAGGGGTTGGAAAAAGATATTCCATGCAAATGGAAACCAAAAGAAAGCTGGAGTAGCAATTCTCATATCAGACAAAATAGACTTTAAAATAAAGACTATTACAGGAGACAAAGAAGGACACTACATAATGATCAAGGGATCGATCCAAGAAGATATAACAATTGTAAATATTTATGCACCCAACATAGGAGCACCTCAATACATAAGGCAAATGCTAACAGCCATAAAAGGGGAAATCGACAGTAACACATTCATAGTAGGGGACTTTAACACCCCACTTTCACCCATGGACAGATCATCCAAAATGAAAATAAAGAAGGAAACACAAGCTTTAAATGATACATTGAACAAGATGGACTTAATGGATATTTATAGGACATTCCATCCAAAAACAACAGAATATACATTTTTCTCAGGTGCTCATGGAACATTCTCCAGGATAGATCATATCTTGGGTCACAAGTCAAGCCACGGTAAATTTAGGAAAACTGAAATTGTATCAAGTATCTTTTCTGACCACAGCACTATGAGACTAGATATCAATTACAGGAAAAGATCTGTAAAAAATACTAACACATGGAGGCTAAACAATACACTACTTAATAACCAGGAGATCACTGAAGAAATCAAAGAGGAAATCAAAAAATACCTAGAAACAAATTACAATGGAGACATGATGACCCGAAACCTATGGGATGCAGCAAAAGCAGTTCTAGGAGGGAAGTTTATAGCAATACAATCCTACCTTACAAAACAGGAAACATCTCGAATAAACAACCTAACCCTGCACCTAAAGCAGTTAGAGAACGAAGAACAGAAAAAACCCCAAAGTTAGCAGAAGGAAAGAAATCATAAAGATCAGATCAGAAATAAATGAAAAAGAAATGAATGAAATGATAGCAAAGATAAATAAAACTAAAAGCTGGTTCTTTGAGAAGATAAACAAAATTGATAAAGCATTAGCCAGACTCATCAAGAAAAAAAGGGAGAAGACTCAAATCAATAGAATTAGAAATGAAAAAGGAGAAGTAACAACTGACACTGCAGAAATACAAAAGATCATGAGAGATTACTACAAGCAACTCTATGCCAATAAAATGGACAACATGGAAGAAATGGACAAATTCTTAGAAAAGCACAACCTGCCAAGACTGAATCAGGAAGAAACAGAAAACATGAACAGACCAATCACAAGCACTGAAATGAAACTGTGATTAAAAATCTTCCAACAAACAAAAGCCCAGGACCAGATGGCTTCACAGGCAAATTCTATCAAACATTTAGAGAACAGCTAACTTCTATCCTTCTCAAACTCCTCCAAAATATAGCAGAGGGAGGAACACTCCCAAACTCATTCTACGAGGCCACCATCACCCTGACACCAAAACCAGACAAGGATGTCACAAAGAAAGAAAACTACAGGCCAATATCACTGATGAACATAGATGCAAAAATCCTCAACAAAATACTAGCAAACAGAATCCAACAGCACATTAAAAGGATCATACACCATGATCATGGGGTTTATTCCAGGAATGCAAGGATTCTTCAATACATGCAAATCAATCAATGTGATACACCATATTAACAAATTGAAGGAGAAAAACCATATGATCGTCTCAATAGATGCAGAGAAAGCTTTTGACAAAATTCAACACCCATTTATGATAAAAACCCTGCAGAAAGTACGCATAGAGGGAACTTTCCTCAACATAATAAAGGCCATATATGACAAACCCACAGCCAACATCGTCCTCAATGGTGAAAAACTGAAAGCATTTCCACTAAGATCAGGAACAAGACAAGGTTGCCCACTCTCACCACTCTTATTCAACATAGTTTTGGAAGTTTTAGCCACAGCAATCAAAGAAGAAAAGGAAATAAAAGGAATCCAAATCGGAAAAGAAGAAGTAAAGCTGTCACTGTTTGCAGATGACGTGATGCTATACATAGAGAATCCTAAAGATGCTACCAGAAAACTACTAGAGCTAATCAATGAATTTGGTAAAGTAGCAGGATACAAAATTAATGCACAGAAATCTCTGGCATTCCTATACACTAATGATGAAAAATCTGAAAATGAAATCAGGAAAACACTCCCCTTTACCATTGCACCAAAAAGAATAAAATACCTAGGAATAAACCTACCTAAGGAGACAAAAGACCTGTATGCAGAAAATTATAAGACACTGATGAAAGAAATTAAAGATGATACAAATAGATGGAGAGATATACCATGTTCTTGGATTGGAAGAATCAACATTGTGAAAATGACTCTACTACCCAAAGCAATCTACAGATTCAATGCAATCCCTATCAAACTACCAATGGCATTTTTCACAGAACTAGAACAAAAAATTTCACAAGTTGTATGGAAACACAAAAGACCCTGAATAGCCAAAGCAGTCTTGAGAACAAAAAACGGAGCTGGAGGAATCAGGCTCCCTGACTTCAGACTATACTACAAAGCTACAGTAATCAAGACAGTATGGTACTGGCACAAAAACAGAAAGATAGATCAATGGAACAGGATAGAAAGTCCAGAGATAAACCCACACACATATGGTCACCTTATCTTTGATAAAGGAGGCAGGAATGTAGAGTGGAGAAAGGACAGCCTCTTCAATAAGTGGTGCTGGGAAAACTGGACACATGTAAAAGTATGAAATTAGATCACTCCCTAACACCATACACAAAAATAAACTCAAAATGGATTAAAGACCTAAATGTAAGGTCAGAAATTATCAAACTCTTAGAGGAAAACATAGGCAGAACACTCTATGACATAAATCACAGCAAGATCCTTTTTGACCCACCTCCCAGAGAAATGGAAATAAAAACAAAATAAACAAATGGGATCTAATGAAACTAGAGGGGTGGGATAGGGAGGGCGGGAGAGAGGGAAACGCCAAGAGGGAAGAGATATGGGAACATATGTATATGTATAACTGATTCACTTTGTTATATAGCAGAAACTGGCACACCACTGTAAAGTAATTATACTCCAATAAAGATGTTAAAAAAAAAAAAAGACAGGCTCAAGGATGTATTTTACTACATGGGGAATATAAGCAATATTTTGTAATAACTGGAAATGGAAAGTAACATTTAAAAATTGTATAAAAATAGCGAATTCCCTGGTGGTTCAATGGTTAGGACTTGGAGTTTTCACTGTCAGGGCCCAGGTTCAATCCCTGGTCGGGGAACTAAGATTCTGCAAGCCATGCAGCTCAGCCATAAAAAAAAAAGTTGTATAAAAATTTTAAAAAATTTAAAAAAAATTAGCAAGGTTTTTGACCGTGTGATTAACTGTGGAGAAAAATTTTAAGTGAAGTGAAAGGGGGTTTTAGGGAATCCTCTGAAGCCTTCCCCACACCCTCAGGCCCTAGATGAGCTGACACTCTGTCAGCTCTGTGTGTGCTGTGTTCATCTGTGGGAAAAATCACATTTGGCTTCCAGAATATACTTTCTTTGGGGGCCCATCGGTCACGCAAAGTCTCTCAGGATGCACCACACGCTGCTAGGATCTCAGTGACACGCCCACCCTACCTCCTTCCGGGGTATTGAAGACCCTGTCGGGGCTGGCTGGGCCCTCCCCTTTCCCATTGACCACGCGGACATTCAGTGTGTAGTGGCTAAAGGGCTCCAGCCCAGGCAACATGCCATGAGTCTTGCTGCCCTGGAAAGTGAGGATCTTTTTCTCAATATGGCGTCTGTTTCTGGTTGATGAACTCTGTGCCTTCCAGTAGTAAATCTGAAACAGCAAGAGTAAAAGTCAGGGATGGACAACGGAGCCAACAGAATCCTCATGCTCACAAAGTTAAAGTTTTATTATGATTTTTTTTCCCAGAAGGTTCCCTTGGCACACTTTAGACTAGTGGAACAACTGACAGATATCAATTCTGAGGCAAGTGAGTAGAAGGCATAGGTAATGAGGGAAATTAAGAAATTGTGATGAAGCTCGGTTATGCTATGTTGTTGGAGAAGTCTAAGTGAAATAAACCAAAGAAGTGAAACGGCATGAGACCCATACAGAAGGATTTAAGCGTCCTTTACTTGTGTAAAATATTCTAATGGTAAAAATTACTGCCCAATATTTATGTACTTTTCCAGAGTTAATACAACTTCATGTACAATATATCATTTAGTTTAATACTAAAAACCACAGTGAAGCTTTTATTATTACTATTCCTACAGTATAGAAGCGCCCCTGGGCTATCAAGAAGTAAGAAGACCCTCCACTTCAAGTCTAGGGCTTTCTCACTATGCCAAACTGCATCATTTAATTAAAAATACTTATTTTTTGGTATGAAATTGGAGACACAGATTTTGAAGAGATAAAGTGTTGATTAACTTCGGATAGAAATCCAGAACTATTGTTTACTAAGTCCTCTTAAAGTCATCTTAGGAGTTTAAAGCCACCTTCAAGAGAAATCAACATAAATACAGAATCTGGCAGTCTTGGAGGAAGAAAAACCAAAAACCCAAAGTTGAACATGATGCAGTGCAAAATCCGACCTCTAGAGGTCAGGGTTTGACCAAGCAAAGCCTTGACCGCCTTGGTAGGTGTGAAAGTTCTTTGACCACCTCTCAATCAAAGCTATGAATCGGTCTTTCTGTGCTTCCCAAGAACACAGATAACTGATGTTTATAAGAATGACTGAGTTGGAACTCTATGATCTTGAACTATAAACTATTTAAAACAGAAGTCTACATTGTTTTCTGGATAGTTTTATTTGTACAACACATAGTTTTGTTCGTTTAAAACCACAGTCAGTGTGGTTTTAAAGCTAGGTGCATTTCACTACGTCCTAGTTTTTTGAACATTAGTTTCCCCCATTTCGTGCATGCGGTAACTGTTGAGTTGGCAGAATGCAGACTATCTGTGGGAAAAATGGAGAAAGAATTTTTTTCTCCCTTGGTGTGCAGTGAGATTTCGATCCAGCTCTAGCGGGGATGCTTCAGAGGTAGGCTTCCTGAGGCAGTACACCTCATGAACTCTCAAGGCCTCCTCCGGCCAAGCAAAGGGCGTCTGGCATTGGCCGACGGACTGTTTCTGAGAAAAGAACACGAAAGGTCTCTTTCACTTGCCCGATAGCCCTGCAGGTGTCCTCGGATACTTTTCAGAGGTACCGGGTCCCAGTGCACCTCGGCTAAGGTGCTGTTTACCACGTTTACGTGCACATTCCCGGGAGCCACCATTGGGACTAGGGAAAGATGAGAAAGGGGGGTAGAAGTATCAATGTCATTTTGAATTTCATGCAAAAACTGTCACCATCTCCTAATTTTGGCTTGAAACATGCCCCAGCCTGATTCTATGTATTATCAAGGATGGAGAATAGATGGATTTTTTTTTTTTTTGAGCACTGTTCATTTGACTTTGTGAGAACAACATATCTTTTTAAAAAGTAATAACTTTTAACATGCTGAACCTATTTTCTATGTAGCAGGCTGTTAGGATGCAGAAATGTTGAGCGAAATCATGGCTGCCTCCCATCCTCCCTCCCAATCTCAGCACCTCTGGACATGGCCTTGACTTGCACTTTGGTAAGTCTGTTTTGCTGGGGAAAAATAGACATGAAGTAGCATCAGGCACTTACGGTCTTCTCCAGAATGTCCCAGGACCACAGCTGGCTCTGGAGCAAAGCCCGCGTCGTTCAGGGCCTGAACTTTGATCAGGTATGGGACAAAGGTCGGGGTGCCCGAGACAATGTATTTGGATACATCTGCCACAACCATAGACGTCCATTCATCATCACCATCCTTCTGGCGCCAGCTAACTTTGTACTGAAGGCCTGGCCCATTAGATTCGAAACCATTCAAGGGCTACAAGAAAAGCCAGACCATCAGAGCTTATAAAACAGATCGGCAGTGCCATCTCTTACTGGAACGGCAAATTCAATTCCCAGACTTAAGACGGTGAGCACTGCACCACCCAAGTACAAGCTATGAACAATTTTCTCCAGGGACCTTTTGTCCGTTTTTTTCACCTGTGATGAGATCCACAGCTTGTTTGGGATCAACATTTCAAAGGTGGTTAATCTCTATCTTGAAGTAGTAAAAACCACCTAGGCCTCTCAGATTCTGGCTCCACAGTCATGGGTAGGTGACACAAAACTTTCCAGGTATATAGTTTCCTTTATGTGCTCCTGGTTGTGTGACAGCACCTCACTGTCTATTTTACTTGGAGACTGAAATTGTGAACTACTTCTTTCTTTAAAAAAAAAAAAGAGATTGGCTTGTCATTCTATCCTGTTTCTACACGCATGTACGTATCTAAGTATATACAAACATGTATGTATCTAAGTATGGATGTATGGATCTATCTAGAATAAGTTTTAAAATCACACAAATAAATATATATTAATTTTCCAAGTCCAGAAAATAGAGACAGGCCAAAAAGAAAAAAGTTGAAGAAGTTGACTACTGGTACCTGTCTTCTAGATGGTTCTCTATGATGGTGACAACACAAGCTAGAATTTATTGAGCGCATTCTATGTGATAGGCACCATTCTAAGTGCGTTATAAGTGCATTAACTCCTTTAATCTTACGAGGTTGGTTCACTGTTATTCCCATCACACAGATACACAGTAGAGATGGTAAAGAAATGCCTTAAAGTCACACAGTTACTAAGTGGCAAAGCTGGGATTTGTACCGTTCATTTTGGCTCCAAGGATCAAGCTTTTACCTACTACACGATTAATAAATATATGATATATGTATATATTCCAAAAAATGTGTCAAAGGGGATTTTAATACAGGTATTATTTAAAAACAACTTTTCTTTCCACTCTAAAATATAGTTGAATATTTCAGACATAGCTCACCTTCCACGTAATCACCAAATTATCCGGCTCTGATCCCAGCCCTTCCACAGCCGTGGGATTTTTATCTGGTTCTAGAAGTTAAACAGCCACATACTCGTAAACTTTGGTCTCTTGCAAACAGTGGAAAACCCTTCTATTTTATTTCATATCACAGAAGTCGTGCTTTACCTGCAGCTTTAGTCAAATACTGCTCAGATGCCTCGCTGGGCAAGCTCCTTCCCAGGCTGTTTACTGCCATCACTCGGAAGGAATAGTTGACATAGGGCGACAACTTCAGCTGGGCTGTGGTCTGAGCTCCAGGGACTTCAGTTTGGTGATGCCACAGCCCCGGCTCATGCATTGCATCTTCATATTCAATGATGAATTCTGGCCACAGCACACACACACAACAAATCCAAGACATGAATTCAGTCACCCAATGGTAGGTTGCGAGGATAACGAACAGGACAATCTTAACAAGAGCAGCTGAACATGAATTATCTCACTTTCAAGAAAAATTCACTAGAATATTTTGATTTCAGAAGCCTAGTGTCCTCAACACTTAAGCAAATCCAATAAGAGTATGCTTTCTCTAGCATGCTGAGTTTAGCTCCTTAAAATTGTTTAGAAGTGGCCCACATATTCCTAGGAAAGTTTAAACATACGAAAAGATGATTGATTTTTTCATAACAGGAGATGTTACGTGAAATACAGAGAGATACCTTCTCCCACCAAAAAGACTGGCAAAATCAAATGTTTAACATACTTTGCGAACTATGACAAAGGGAAACAATCATTCTCATACTTTGTGGGAAGTGTAAATTGGTACAACTTCTATAGAGGACAATTTAGAACATCTAACAATATTTAGATATTTAGATAACTCAGAGACCCTTTGACTCAGAAATTGTGCTTCCAGCAATTTATTTTGAATAAATGTGCTCATGAATATGTTCGAAGGCACACGAAAAAGAATCCACATGGCAGCATTGTTTGCAACTGAAACAACCTAATTGCAAACAATTGTTCATCAATAGGACACTGATGAACCTAAATGTTCATCAATAGGACACTGATTAAATAAATTATGATGCATCCACACAATGGAATATTCTGCAGCTGTAAAAAATGAATAGGGCTGCTCTGCATGTACTGAAACAGAATGATTTCTAAAATATATTGTTAAGTGAAACCAAGTAGGGTTTAGAACATAATCCAGTGTGTGCTGGATACTACAGTTGTATAAAAATAAAAAGATTTACTATAACATATACACATACACATACGCTTGAAAGTACATGTGTTACCTCTTGGAGAATACACACTGTAACACTGGTGTCACCAGAGGAATTGAGAATCAGGGGTGGGAGGAAGACTTACTTTCCAGTGCATACCTACCCTCTTGTCTCTCTTAAAATTTTGTGGTATGTACATGTTTTATCCTTGTAAAAAATAAGTATTTATTTGAAACGATGTATGCACCCCAATGTTCATTGCAGCACTATGTGCAATAAGCCAAGATATGGAAGCAACCTAAATGTCCATCGACAGATGAATGGATAAAGAAGATGTTGCACATACATACAATGGAATGTTACTCAGCCATAAAAAGAATGAAATAATGCCACCTGCAGCAACATGGATGGACTAGAGATGATCATATTAAGTGAATTAAGCCAGGCAGAGAAAGACAAATATCATACGATATTGCATATATGTGGAATCTAAAAGAAAATGATACAAATGAACTTATATACAAAACAGAAATAGAGGGCTTCCCTGGTGGCGCAGTGGTTGAGAGTCCACCTGCCGATGCAGGGGACACAGGTTCGTGCCCCGGTGCTGCGGAGTGGCTAGGCCCGTGAGCCATGGCCGCTGAGCCTGCGCGTCCGGAGCCTGTGCTCCGCAATGGGAGAGGCCACAACAGTGAGAGGCCCGTGTACCACAAAAAAAGCAAAACAAACAACAACAAAAAACAAAACACCAAAATAGACACACAGACATAGAAAACAAACTTGCGGTTACCAGAGGGGGAAGGTAGGGGGAGGGATAAATGAGGAGCTTGGGATTAACATATACACACTACTGTATATAAAAGAGATAACCAACAAGGACCTACTGTATAGCAGAGGGAACTATGCTCAATATTTTGTAATAACCTAAAAAGAAGAAGAATGTCAAAAAAATATATGTATAACTGAATCACTTTGCTGTAAACCTGAAACTAATACAACATTGTAAATCAACTATACTTCAATAAAAAAAAAGAAATGCAAAAAATAGGTATTTAGATATTCATTAATTGCCTACTACATGCCATGTACCATGATATGAATTAAAGGTACAAAGATGAACTAGAAATATGTGTTGCAATGCTCGGAAGCTCAGCACTTAGAGTTCTCCTTCTAATCTATGTTAATTTGCTGGTGATCTCCAGTTTCATAAACTGATGACCTTCACATTTATATCTTCAGCCCCTGTCTCTCCCCAGAACTGCAGACTTGGATACTTAATTGCCTACTCAAGAATTCCACTTGTTTGTCTAGTACAGCATCTCAAATTGGATGTGACCAAGACTCATTTTGCTCTTTACCCCAACTGGTAGTGACAACTCAGGTCAAAACCTTGAAGTCCTTCTTGGCTTTCTCCTTCTCTTACTCTCAATAGACCTGTTGGCTGTACCTTTAAAATATATTCAAAATCTCAGCTTACCATTTCTCAGCTCCTCCATCCCTATAAGCCTATTCCAGGTCACCAAGATCTCTTGTGAGAATTATTGCATAACCTCCTAGCTCACAAGTTCCCAAACTTTCTTAGTTCATGGTGTGCTTAGTGTCTCAGTAATTTTTTTCATGGCTCCCTTAGGTCAAAAGAAATACCTAACATCTCTGTGTATTAAGGAGTTAGGTCTATATAATCTAATAAGTGTTTATGTCTTAAAATCTACTGGGCACCGCATAACTTGTCCAACCCTGTAAACAGATTTGACACCACCTTCCTCATTTCCTGTTTCACACTTATTTTCACATGGTACTTGCTTTTTATCACCACAAAGGCTTTGCGGAGATATGACACTGTCACAGTGTGATGTAGCACTATCAATACTGAAACTGTGAACTGCCTCCAGCTAGTATTTCATGGGGTGTCTGAGAGATGTCACTGTGTTTTTTAAAAACCAAAATTTTGGGGCTTCCCTGGTGGCTCAGCGGTTAAGAATCCACCTGCCAATGCAGGGGACACGGGTTCGAGCCCTGGGCCAGGAAGATCCCACATGCCGTGGAGCAACTAAGCCCGTGTGCCACAACTACTGAGCCTGCGCTCTAGAGCCCATGAGCCACAACTACTGAGCCCATGTTCCACAACTACTGAAGCCTGCATGCCTAGAGCCCGTGCTCCGTAACAAGAGAAGCCACCGCAATGAGAAGCCTGCGCACCACAAGGAAGAGTAGCCCCTGCTCACCACAACAAGAGAAAGCCTGTGTGCAGCAACGAAGACCCAACTCAGCCAAAAAATAAAATTAAATTAAAAAAATAAAACCCAAAATTTAAAAATCAAAAACTTAATATCTGGAGGCACCTCTGAGGTTTGCTGACGTTCTGCATGGTATTTCAACGCATGGTTTGAGAACTGTAGTTCTGCCGGGTCTCCCCACTCTCCCTCTTGTTCCTCTCTAGACCATTTTCAATAGAATAGCCAGTGTGATCCATTCCTCTACTTCAGGGGTCCCCAACCCCTGGGCTGTGGACCGATACTGGTCCATGGCTTGTTAGGCGGGCAAGTGAAGCTTCATCTGCCGCTCCCCATTGCTTGCATTACCGCCTGAACCATGGCTCACATTACCGCCTGAACCATCCCCCCTCTCCCCCTCCGTGGAAAAACACTTCCACGAAGCTAGTCCCTGGTGCCAAAAAGACTGGGGACCACTGCTCTATTTAAATCCCTCCAATTCCTTCCCAACCCCTACAAGGGCTACAAGGCCCTGCACAGTGCACATCCCACTCCACCCACCAACTCTTTGCCTCTTTGACCTTCTCTCCTACTTCACTTCTTCTTGTTTCACTCCAGCCAGCCACAGTGGCTTCCGAGAGACATGCTCCTGTCTCAGGGGCTTTGCTGTTTTTCTTGCTCTCCCTGGAAAGGTCTTCCTTCAGTTAACTGCATAGTGCGTTCACTACCTCTCTCCTCATGTCTTTATTGACATACTCAAATGTTACCTTCTTTTTAAAAATTTATTATTTTTTTAACTGGAGTATAGTTGATTCACAGTATTGTGTTAGTTTCAGGCGTATAGCAAAGTGATTTGGTTATACATAAATAAATGTATATAACTATATTCTTTTTCCCCATTCTTTTCCTTTATAGTTTATTACAATATATTGAATATAGCTTCCTGTGCTATACAGTAAATCCTTGTTTGGTAGTACACATCTGTTAATCCCAAATTCCTAATTTATTCCTCCTCCCCTTCCCCTGTGGTACCCATAAGTTTGTTTTCTATGTCTATGAGTCTAGTTTTATTTTATAAATTAGTTCATTTGCACTATTTATTAGATTCCACATATAAGGGATATCATATAATATTTGTCTTTCTCCATCTTACTTCACTTAGTACGATACTTTCTAGGTCCATCCATGTTGCTGCAAATGGCATGATTTCATTCTTTTTTATGGCTGAGTAGTATTCCACTGTATATATGTACCACATCTTCTTTATCCATTCATGTGTTGATGGACACTTAGGTTGCGCCTGTGTCTTGGCTATTGTAAACAGTGCCACTGTGAACTTTGGGATGCATGTATCTTTTTGAATTACAGCTTTCATTTTTCCTGGATATATGCCCAGGGGTGGGATTGCTGGATCATCTGGTAATTCTATTTTCAGTTTTTTAAGGAACCTCCATACTGTTTTGCATACGAATGTTACCTGCTTAAGGTAGCCTTTCCTGACCACCCTGTTTGCAATTATACCCCTGACCCTCATATTCTTTACTCTCCTTCTCCTGCTTTGTTCTTTGCATGGCCTAAACATGGACACACACATAACCATGTGAATAGACATATGTGTGTTTGATTCCTCTTGGAAGCAGATGCAGAGATAGAACTAAATGTGTAGGAGATTTATTTGGGAAAGAGTCCATGGAAGATAAAAGAGACAGAAAGCAGGAGACGGCAGGGAAGATCTTCAGACCATAATGCAGGTCTGACGTCTGAGAAAGGAGAGGGGAAGGAGGTGTGTGTGGAAAAAGCCTCAGACTCCAATACAGATAGATTCAGCCAGGTCAGCAAGGAGCCCCAGAGTGGAGTTCTGCAGGAGGCATGGCTGAATCTAGGACCCTCGCTGTGCTCAGTCCCTGGACTAGCTCAGGAAGAGAGGGGCCTCATGGGAATGCTGCAGCTGATCCCTAGGGAGGGGGCAGCAGATGGAGCCTGTTGTTGACATTCCTTGTAGTGGGTTCTCTCTTAAAAGGAGATCTGAGTAGTGTGTGTGTGTGTGTGTGCGCGTGTGTGTGTGTGTGTATACACACACACACACACACACATATACATATATATAATGACATTATACACAATAACGTAACATGTATTAATTTTATCTTATTTGTGTCCTCAATTAAAATATAAACTTCATATGGGCAGAGATTTTTGACTGTTTTGTTTTAGAAGAATGCCTGGTACATAATAGGTACTCAATAAATGTCTGTTGAATGAATGAACGAACAAAAGAGTAGAAATGCCTTGAAATCTAATGGTATCATTTTAACATGGGTAAAAATTAGAGTCTCCAAGCATCCTCACCAGCTAAATCTGGCTAATGTACTGAATGAACTGGAAGATTCAGCATGAATGAATACATGTTCTGATCAAGGACCAAAAACTCCACTGAGAAAGGAACACCACCAAAGAACACAAGATAGAGAGGACGCTTTTGTTTACTTTCATTGGATCTAGTCTGCTTTACCAGCAGGTGCAACAAATCAATACGCACATCACTTCAGCAGTATCTTAGGTCATCACTGGAAAGGAATTTAGTCTTCCTGCAGTATACACCTGAAGGTAGTAATATATTACAGACTTGTGTCTACTCTCTTAAGTACCTTTTTGGTTTTAAAACTTATAAGCTTATCTATAGTTTAATTTTACTAAGCTCTTCCAGTACCTTTATAGCATGGCCCCTCACCTGATTTTATTCTCTAAGCTGATGTCATCAAGGTGAGGAGGTGACACTGGTGACTGTGCCACTTTATAGCCAGGGCTAATGGGAAGAAAGAGACCTGATGTCTACCCCCAGTTCTGTTAACAACTGTGGCTTTGAAAAGTCACTTTACTCACCAAGTCTCAATTTCCTAATAGCTAGACTGGTCCTTCTATTGTTTTCTCCTATATTAATGGGCAAAATGAATAACTTGCAATACATCTTCCTACTGTGGTAGAAATTGAAAGTGATTCTTATGGATCTTAAACACAAAATGATAGTGTACTTGCTTAATTAACATCTTCAGCAACTAATTAGTGTCCCAAACCAGAAGTCGTAACCAGGAATAACTCCAGCGCTGAATAACAGAACATAAATAACTGTTTTGATTCTATTAGCAATGAAGAAGAGAATGCCAGCAAATATCTTTTGCAAGGAATTTCAATTACATGGGATACAGTGCTTTGAAAATAATCATTAAGTTTATCAGTGAAAAAGCAAATGACACCACATACTTGAAATAGGGCTATTGTTGTCATCGCCTGGGGTCCATGACAGCTGAACACTCCTGTCTAGTTGATCCGTCAATTCTAAGTCAAAGGGAGGATTTGGGACATCTGTAGACCAAACACACACATCATAGTTAACCGCCCGACCTTAGGAGGTTCTCCTTTACTCATGATACTATTCTTGGAGGGGACATTTAAAGACACAGCACACGTAATGGCCAGTGAGCATGCAACTGAAAGGAAATGAAAACAGCTGAGGCTGCTGGGAACACACACGCACACCCAAGAGAACCCCTCAATGAGCTCTGCTTGTTTCTCTTTGAAATGAAACTAAATCCCTTGTCACCAAAGCCAGGGGAGGACATGTATGGTTCTCCAGCACTCTCAGTGCGTGTCTTCTCATAAACATAGAGGAGCACAAACAGGAAAAATAATACGGAAGCTGAATTTCTAATAAATGGGAAACAGAGAATGGGAAATGCTGAAAAACAAATACAGGCAGATGTACATACTATTAAAAGAAGATGCAAGTGTTCTTTCTGAAACATGCTGAATTACAGATTTGGGGGCACCTGAAGAATATTTGTATTTTTAAGGGAATTCTAAAATTGATGCCATGCAGGTAGCCCTTGGCATGCAACCTTATGTGGATGTTCAGTATAAGTCAGTCAGGCATACGGGGAGGTGTGTTTAGTCTCAGAGGACACCAGGGTACAGATGCTTGTTGGGACGAAGGTGTCTGAGGAGCATGTCTGCCTCTTCTAATGGTGCTTCTGAGATCTAGAGAGTTAAAGTTCCCCCTGGGTCTTTTCCTGACCTTGCTCTTGGCAGTAACTCTGGTTCTTGGGGGAACCAGAGGCCATAGAAAAATATAAGCACTTCTTTCCTACCAGTAAAGAAGCAGTAAATGTCTACAAAGGACAGGTCTTCTACAGCATAATCCATAATACTATGTAACATCCAGCTGAGTTTTCACCACAAAATTAATTTTTGTATTTATATGTTGAATAAACATGAGGGTTCTTTAATTAAAAAGATTTCGGGAAAAAAATTGATTTAACTTCCCGACTCAGAAAAATCATGCTACGTGAAAGTGTCCTCCTTTTCGTCTTTCTTTAGTGATTTATCTTCTGTGAACACAGTGAGTTGGTGGTTTTCTTTGATAGAAAGGTCAAATGTTGTATTAAGCATCCATTGTTTTCCTAGGTAAATTTCTTGAAAATGGAATCCCCAAACAACATTTAGTTTTCCAGAACAATTTTTTTTTTTTTTTTGCGGTACGCGGGCCTCTCACTGTTGTGGCCTCTCCCGTTGCGGAGCACAGGCTCTGGACGCGCAGGCTCAGCGGCCATGGCTCACGGGCCCAGCCACTCTGCGGCATGTGGGATCTTCCCGGACCGGGGCAGGAACCCGCGTCCCCTGCATCGGCAGGCGGACTCTCAACCACTGCTCCACCAGGGAAGCTCCACAACAACTTTTAATCGATTGAAATGAAAACCTAAGTTGTGGAATGATATTTGAAATTGCTTTTTCAGTCTGTAAAATATGGACGATAGCTTTTGAAAAAGCACTATGCTACTTTACAAGAAAATGCTGTCAAAGAGGGACTTTCAGCGAATGAAATGACTTTGCAATAACACATGAAATACTTGGAAGCGAGTGGCAATATATTCAGTGAAAAGTTCCCGAATTATAATGAAGAGATGATTTATAGCAGTAAATGGACAACACGGCAGAACACCTGACAGAGCCCCTTTCCTTAAAGAAACACAATGACATGATAGAGAAAAGAAAGTAACGGACTTCTTCTGTACGTGTGAAATTGTTTGAAAGAAAACAGAGAAAAGGACTCATATTAGTTTACCGTAAATGGGAGCTGGAGTTGGAGTGGGAGCTAGAAAGGACAGTAATATAAAGGAGTTTAATCAAAATTAGTAGTGGACAGATATAATATAGCACAAGAAGACAAAGACTGAGCATGATTAAGATTATAAAACTGAGCCTTACGCTTAGCTGTGAGACACAGCATCGATAAACATGCAGTAACAACATAGGGGGAAAACCCCTTCGACTTTAAATAAAGGTAGATCATTTCCCCCCAGTTTTCTCATAAAAATATCACTAATGTGCTTAACCACCGGTTTATTGCAGTGTTGCTACAGAGTACATTTATACTGAAATTACTGCCTCAAAGGCATCTTTCAAAGAAGAAAGATGTGCGTATTTAACTCACCTATAAAATGCTAAAACTGTAACAAGCAAACAGTTACTACTGACAATTTTTCCTTTCAACCTAAAACAGGGCAGCCAGTTGTGCTGTATGTGTTCTAGCTCTTACCGACAACGCGGAGCACAGCACTGGCCGAAACGTTGTCCAGAGTTGTGTTGGCCACACATGTGTAGGTCCCACCATCATCATCATTGACATCAGCGACCACCAAATGGTCCTTGTCAACAGTGAACCTGTAATTATCACATGCTCAAAGCGGCTGGAATGACGGTTTTACTGGCATGAAAGCAACTGTGAACTTGGTAAAAGGGAAAGATGATAAAGATTTGCAGCACATTAGAGCTAAAATCCTATACGATACATGCCACTTTGATAATGAGTAAAGTTGGCAAACATTTTGAATGAGGGAGAAGCTTGGGTTAGAAATGATGTCACGTCATTTAGTCTGATGGCTTTCAACCACGCCTCTGGAGTTATAGGAGCTTCCTTAAGACCAGAGGCATCTAGAGCTGAGCTGGGGGCAGCTCCAGTTACCCTGAACAGAGGGGTTTCCTAGGCTTCTGCTGCTACCACTCATCTGGCTCAATTTCTAACAAAGTGTGTATTTTAAAATAATTTGATATTAATTATTGTTTTTTTTTAATTGAACTATAGTTGATTTACAATGTTTCAGGTATACAGCAAAGTGATTCAGTTTTATATATATATATAAAATACTCTTTTTCAGATTCTTTTCCATTATAGGTTATTACTGGCTATTGAATATAGTTCCCTGTGCTATACAGTAGGCTCCTGTTGTTTATTTCATATACAGTAGTGTGTATCGTTAATCCCAAATTCCCACATAGTTCTTTTAAGGGCCATTTACAAGCAACAGGGCACCATTTGGGCACAGTTGAAAGAAGCCACAGAAACCAGCAGACAACACTCCTTCCCGTCGGGGTGATGCCTGTGCCCCTCTGCATCAGCTAAAATTCTCGTCTTTGACTCTGTGTACTTTGTCAAATCGAGAGTCTCACCTGGAAAATGCGCATGACCTTTCTTTCATACCAAGCTAAAGGAATGCAATGTGCTCAGGCTCTTTCAAATTCTTTACGTGTTTTTTTTTCTTCTCCTCCTTCTACTCGCTTTAGGTAAAATGAAAACTCCCCAACCAAATAAAAACTAGTGTCCTGTAAAATACTGATGAAGATTCAGGCTCACTCTGATGATTAAAGAGATCGTATTTCTGCTTATTTGTAAAATGGGAACGAAAACATCTGTTGAGAGTGCACCGTGCAAGTTAGAAAACAATGGATGTTGTTCAAGACCTGAAAGGTTTTTCACATCCTAAATTACGCAGGAGACCAACACAAAGACAGACAAACATTGTCAGGGTCTTATTTCTGTAACTTGATACCTTTTTAGGTCCAAATATTCTATAGCACGAAGAGAAAATGTATATCGACTTTGGAGAGAGAGCAGACTTCAGAAACTTTAAAAACATAACCATCAAGTTACTGTACAATAAACCTTTCGTTCAAGAGCAGCTTAAAGAGAGAAGGAAGAGAAAGGAAAGAAATTGTCTTCAAATACCTTCCGTCACTGGGCAGCTCCCTGTGGTCCTTTAGCCACATGACGGTGGGGATTAAAGTGTGATCGTGCTTCACTATGCATTCAAAGGACACCGTGCTCCCTCTTTGCACAACTGCATATTCAGGCTGTTTAATGATCCTCGTTGGATCTGAAATGGAAAGTTACCGTTATCCATTGCCAAAGCTGGAGAATTTAACAGAATCAAGACATAGAGAACAGACTTGTGGTTGCCAAGGGGGAAGGAGGGTGGGGGAGGGAAGGATTGGGAGTTTGGGGTTATCAGATGCAAACTGTTACATATAGAATGGATAAACAACAAGGTCCTACTGTACAGAACAGGGAACTATACTCTATATCCTGTGATAAACCATAATGGAAAAGAATATGAAAAAGAATGCATATATGTATAACTGAGTCACTTTGCTGTACAGCAGAAATTAACACAACAATGTAAATCAACTATACTTCAATAAAGTAAATTTTTTTTAAAAAAAAGCTGGAGAATTTGCTCAAAGTCTCATAATACTGAAAAAATGTTTGTCACCTCTGCCTCACCTTTGATCTCTAAGTGAATGTCATTCTTCGCCATTCCTAACTTATTCCTTGCAACACATGTATAAGTTCCCGTACTGTCCTTCTGGGCCACAGGAATTTCCAAAGTTCCATTTTCATGTAAAACATAGATATCTTCACGAAGGGCACTCCCTTTAGCGCCTTTAAACCTTCATTATGAAAATGATCACAAACAGGAATAAAAATATTTTAATTTGAAGTCAGACATGAAATGCCCTGTTCAAGGTCCAACACACGACACGATCTGCATTACAGTATCAAGGTCAGAGACGTCTGGAAGCTGCACAAGCATATTGCATGCTTGTAAATCAGAGGGGTTAATGCAAAGACAGATGTCAAACTGGAGAATTCAGCGATAGATGGTGCTTGAAGAATTAGGATGACAATACAAAACACTTAATTTGTAATTTTCATTATAAGAGATTCATAACTTAGTAAACACATTATTAACCTATTTTATCTCTAATAAGTAATAAAATAGACACAGTGAAGACTGCTCTTTTTGACCTTTCCCCCCTACTGTGATGTCTTTGTAACTCCATCTACACGTTACAATTCTAAAGAGATTCTGACTTCAAGGTTACAAGGGTTGTACTTCTGGGAGTATAAATAGGAAAATATTCAGGGAAGGAGAAAAAGAAAGCATGCATGTGAAGTATGCCCACATTGAGCTTCCAGGTTAGTGTCAGACGGGAGAAGTGAGGATGGATGAAAAGCCGTGTGAAACTAAGCGTTAATCCGTCTCCTTTGCTAGGAAATTTTCTGCACAAGCATCCGTGTTTGGGCTTTCATCCTACACCTGGCTTTGATCTCACACCAGGAAGTGGAGCCCCACATAGTGTCTGGCACCTGATAGACAATCCATAAATGAATGTTCCAATTTTCTTTCACTCATTCTTTCTGAGCTGCTGTCTCCCCTGGCCTTGTCTCTTTCAGCTCATGCTAAAGCAAGCTGGGAGGGTGGCAGGACTTGTACCACGAGTGGTACGTGAAAAGGGATGGTCGGAAGACGGATTGAAAGGATACAGGGGCGCTTGGCCGGATCCAAGCCAGGACACTCAGTGGGAGAGGAACACTGGTAATAGCAATTCTGTTTTTTAAGCTTATGGACCCTGCGTCCGCCCCAAATGATATTTATTATCAAGGAATGTCCCCCAACCCGTCCCTCTAGCCACCATTCATGACGTCCCGGGTGATGTCCGTAGCACTGCAAAATACAGCCACTTTAATTTTTTTCAAAAACATTTACATATCCCTCTGGGATGGACAAAGCGTGCTGCCAAAGAGGTCATCCATGTGACAGTATTTACCACAGAGTGAGTCGTTAATAAATATTTGTGAACACATTTAATAATTAATAGGATGATGGCTTCTGCCCTGCCTTTTTCCTGTTCTCTGACTAAAACCCCACATATTGAGAAATTTGAAGGCTTTGGCAAATGTAAATATGACAAACAGATATGGCCACTACTTACCACTCGATGGTAGGCAGAGGAGACCCAAAGAAGGCACAGTCTAGTAAAGCTGGCCTGTTTGCAATGACTTGATAGAGTGTGTCTGCAGACGTAAGGATTCGTGGTGGCTCAGCTAAAAACGTTTTGGAAAGGTAAAGTAAATATTAAAATAAAATAAACACTTAGGTCCACCTGTATTTTATTGTATTTTTTTTTCAGGCCATTAGAATTCATGTTAAGGCACAGCCAATGTATCTCTCCCCTTAGCACAGTATTTTAATAACTGATTTCTTTATCTATCTCTCCAACTACACTGTGAGTTCCTTGCAGGCAGGGAATGGGACTTTTTATTGTTTCCTCCCCATAAACCAGCACAGTGTCTGGCACAAAAAATAATGGCCAAATACATTTTTGTTGGACGATTGGCCCATCAGAACCTTGGGGTAATAACCGAGGTGGGTGTGGGGGCGTATTGGCGAACACCCAAGCCGGCAGAAAAAAAGCAGAATGCTGATGACTCAAAACAGCACCAGAATCAAAACTGCTTCCTGTCCCTCCATCAACGTCTTAACGGCTCAGCTCTTCCTGTGATTTACTGACCTTCATTTCAAGCACGAAGGAAAAAATACCACATATTGGTTGGCTTCCTGACCCTAATTTTGTTTGAAAGGGAACCTACTCCACTTACAGAGGTGAAAGATAATTCCCTGGCATCATGAAAACAATTCTCACATAAATTCTTAACAAATTTGGTATTTTAGTAGTTTTGTCCCATATGAGAAATACAATGTTCACATAAACCCAACCCTTTCAGAATATGTTTATGTCACCGTTTTCTAAACATATTGTTATGAATTGATAAATAAATGTACATCGTGACTTAGGTCACGGCCAAACATTACGATTAATGACTTACTTTCAAAAATCAGAATCATGAAATTGTCATTCAACTTGTCAGTTTCTAAGGATGGAACAAGCAATCACATTCAGTTAGGAACAGCAGACCTTTGCTGTTTTCCTTTTGAGGGGTTGGACACAATGTAACCGTCTATGAACAGAGCAGCCTCTTTGATTACCTCTACAATGAGGAATTTGCCATTGTCAAAACCATGTTATGAAAGAAAGTTAAGGCCAGACTGTAATTTCCTTTAGGGCAAGGTCTGTATCTTATCCATCTTTGTATATCCCTTACAGCTCCAAGTTCTGTGCCACTGCCTAGTAGATGCTTAATATATTTCTGCTGAATGAATGAAAAACAACAGCGGTCATTAATTTAATTTGTCATGTCTTTAATAAAGGGAGAGCTTACCCAGGACATTTACAAATGCGTTTGCCAGTAAATATCCATATTCGTTAGAGGCATTACACTGATACACCGCACTTGATCTTTCTTGAACGTTTGAAAAAATAATGGTATCGCCATCTATTTTCCTGCTGGGGTCATCAGGGGCAACTGTTTGGGTGTAAAAATAAAAAGTATATATTCATTCCTCTTTGCTTAAAAGATGTAAAGCTTGAACTCTAATTTACAGGAAGTGGAAGACTGATCTAGGTATATGCAGTAAGAAAGAGAAGACCAACAACCCAACAGAAACCACAGTTTTCCTTCCTATAATTTAGTTATCACTTATCATCATGGGTATATGCTTGATAACCATTTAGTTTTAAATGGATTGATTCTTTTCAATATTATTTTGAGAGCCTCAGGGAAAAAAAGCAACACGTTAGGTGTAAACTGCAATACAAATTCAGAAAAACATTACCTTGTTCACGAAGAAATTATGGTTATTTTTGAGAAGGCAAATTAATTATCAAGAGGAGACAGCAAAATCTACTCCAAAAACAGAGAAATCCTTTAGATCATCCAAACCTGTGTCTTTTAAGAGTCTCTTATTGAAACAGATTGATAAATAAATATGTAAGCAAGTATAGGGCTAATAATCAAATGTGAAAGTATGTATTTTCTTGTTTTGACAATTCCTGAGGCTGAAGTAGAAATAAATTATGTGAGATTTCCCTTAAAGGCAGCAGTTTCAGCTAAATCTCTCAAATACTTAAAAAAATGTTAAGACCAGGACTGATCCTTACTGAAGCAGAATGGAACAGGTTGGTAATATAATATATGAGAATTCAGTCCAAGGCATGCCCAACAATTCGGAAGTGCTGTGCTATTGGACAATATTTTCCTTTTTGTGAACACTAAATCTTAGGCTGTGACATTACATGGCTTTAAAAGTAAACTAAGGACTTCCCTGGTGGCGCCATGGTTGGGAATCCGCCTGCCAATGCGGGGACACGGGTTCAAGCCCCATTCCGGGAAGATCCCACATGCTGCGGAGCGACTAAGCCCGTGCGCCACAACTACTGAACCTGTGCTCTAGAGCCCGCGAGCCACAACTACCGAAGCCCATGCGCCTAGAGCCCGTGCTCGGCAACAGGAGAGGCCACCGCAATGAGAAGCCCGCGCATCACAACAAAGAGTAGCCCCTGCTCACTGCAACTAGAGAAAGCCTGCGTGCAGCAATGAGGATCCAACGCAGCCAAAAATAAATTAAAAAAAAAAGTACACTGAAAGGGGTAGCGGGTGTCTGTCTCGGCATGCTGATCAAACTCAAATCTAAATAACAGCACCCCTATATTCAGTATCCTGTGATAAATCATAATGGAAAAGAATATGAAAAAGAATGTATATATGTAAAACTGAATCACTTTGCTGTACAGCAGAAATTAACGCAACATGGTAAATCAACTACACTTCAATAAAGTAAATTAAAAAAATAAATAACAGCACCATTCCTTTTAAACTGCTCTTGCACCCTGAACCACTCAATAGCCTTTACTTTCATTCTAAACACGCTTTTTCCTTTTTTTTTTTTAAAGACTTTTTTGATGTGGACTATTTTTAAAGTCTTTATTGAATTTGTTACAATATTGCTTTTTTTTTTTTTTTTAAATGTCTTGGTTTTTCAGCCACAAGGCATGTGGGATCTTAGCTCCCCCAACCAGGGATCGAACCCACACCCCTTGCATTGGCGAAGTCTTAAGCAGTGGACTGCCAGAGAAGTCCCCATTTTTCCTCTTTGATGGCAGGAAAAGGATGGGCACCTAAGACATATTTATCACTGCCTTTAGACTCCTTTATCACTTTAAAAAGCTTCAAATAACAGGTTCGTCTGTGGTTCATTAATGAAAATAAATAATAAAAATAAATCAAACTATAGTTATTTATTCTTGTTTTATCACACATATTCAAAGTATCATGCCTACTTGTACTGCATTAGCTTCTACCGATGCTGAACAAGTTACTCCAAACTTACTGGCTTAAAATCACACAAATTTACTATCACACAGTTCTGTATGTAGTTGTATGTCTGACACTCTGACCACAGTCAGTAGCTAATTTAGGAAATCATCTCAGATGCTCCAACTAGTTCAACTAGTGATAGGTGAGCCAAGATGCTTTGAGTTGGCATTTTAGCTCACATCCGCTGTTTATGACTCTAATGATTTCAAAATGGCCTTAAGGAACATGTTCTTTCTAACCAGAAGAAAAATACAAGTTGCAATTCCTTTGACAGAGAATAGATTTCCTCAGTAAATGACAGCAGAGGACTGACACGCCACACTAGCCTAGGAAGTGGACTAGTGCTGCAGCTGGCAGCCAGGTACCCTGAGAATGCAGCATCCCTCAGGGCAGCCCGTGTTCCTTGTCCCACATCCCAAGTCTAGGACCATCGGGGGCCTTTCTGACACATACTCTCAGCAATGTCTTTCCGCTATCTCAGCAACGCGTGCTGGCACAGAGCAGCATTTTGGGAATCCCTTTCTCTGTCAATTATTCTTAGCATGTTTGGACCCAGCAGTTGAGCACTCAGTGCTGGGCCTCCTCAGGGGACTCCCAGTGACCACGCCATGTCCATTCTGACTGTACCTCTGTGGACCCAGCAGGCAGTGGAGGGCCAGGAGTCTCCAAATTCCTTGAATACTAAGCTCTTCAAAATTACATCACCAGGGCTTCCCTGGTGGCGCAGTGGTTGAGAGTACGCCTGCCGATGCAGGGGATGCGGGTTCGTGCCCCGGTCTGGGAAGATCTCACATGCCGCAGAGCGGCTGGGCCCATGAGCCATGGCCGCTGGGCCTGCGTGTCCGGAGCCTGTGCTCCGCAATGGGAGAGGCCACAGCAGTGAGAGGCCCGCGTACCACAAAGAAAACAAAAACAAAACAAAACAAACAAAAAAATTATATCACCATGTGTTTAATGGCTATAGAGTTCTAGTTTTGCAAGATGAGAAAGTTCTGGAGATCTATTTCAAAATAGTGTGAATGTACTGTAACACTACTGAACTATATGCTTAAAAATGGTTAAGATGGTAAATTTTCTGTTATGCATGATTTTTTTTAAATTGAAGTATAGTTGATTTACAATGTTGTCCCAGTCTCTACTGTATAGCAGTGACTCAGTTTTACACATATAGACATTCTTTTTTCAATAATCTGTTTTTGTGTGTGTGTTAGTTTCTGTTGTACACCAAAGTGAATCAGCCATATGCATACACATGTCCCCGTATCCCCTCCCTCTCGAGCCTCCCTCCCACCCTCCCTGTCCCACCCCTCTAGGTCGTCACAAAGCACCAAGCCAATCTCCCTGTGCTATGCGGCTGCTTCCCACTAGCTATTTTACATTCCATTATCGTTTATCTGAGGAGATTGGATATAGTTCCCTGTGCTACACAGTAGGACCTGTTATGTGTTTTTTTTAACCACAATAAAAAGTTACCTCACCATGAACATGGAAGACTAGTTCAATTCACAAAGCCAGTAGGACGATCTTCCCCTAGTAGGGATTCATCAAGCACAATATACACCATTTAAAAGAGCTTTTACGTAGCCCACGGTTGCATTTTTTCTTTGTTTTGCTATCGACTCTTTCCAGTGTTATTCTTTGCTTGAGAGGCATCTGAGTGTATCTGCCTTATTTCTGCTAAATGGTGCGGCCTCCAAATATTTATTTTTGGCGAGGTATTTAGAAATTAAATAAACCCTTTAGGTGAGAGTAATAAGAGTGGAAAAGCAGATACTTCTCCATGGGGGTTTGGTCTCCATTCTCCTTAAGCGCTTACTAAAGAAACACAAGCAAACCCAGGAACTCTCACAGTGACATATGGAAGCTCAATGGGTATTGGACAAAGAATCCAATTGCTAGTGCAGAGAGACTTGAAGCCTTTGGACTCTGTGTCCTGGCTACTGGGTGGGAGCAACTCTCCAGGATCCAAACCCAAATTACCCAAAGGAATAAGAACTAATTCTGGGAATATTCAACTTCTATTGCCATAAATGCACACTGGGGAAAGAAACTGAAGAGCATAGAATTACCACCATACAACTTAAAGCCCCAAAGGTAAGGTTCAGAACTGGGGTGATAGTCTCCCAACAATGGTTTCTTTTATTCTACCTCTCCTGACACAGCTGGCCAAAACTATGATTGCTTCCAACATTTAGAAAGTGAGAACAGTAACAGTGAGCGCCACCTTACATGTAAAAAGTACTATCAAGTTTTAAAATATTTTTTATATCTATTGCATAATTTGATTTTAAAAAGAGCCTTGTGGTCTACGGCCATACTACCCTGAATGCACCGAATCTCGCCTGATCTCGGAAGCTAAGCAGAGTCAGGCCTGGTTAGTACTTGCATGAGAGACTGCCTGGGAATATTGGGTGCTGTAGACGTAAAAATAAAATAAAAAAAAAATAAATTTGTGAAACATATTAAGTATAGTATATGCACCTCGGAGATGAGAAACTACAGACTTAACAGTTTGTTTAATGCATGATTACTGCTCAGATTTTCTGAGTTAGTCTCCTTTATAAACATCTCCTGAAATCTGAACGTCTGAGCATAATGCAGAACAAATCTCTGGGGAAAGAGAAGACTTTTCCTCTCCATCGAGGCATTCTATCCCCTATAAGCGATGTCACAGAGCCCTTTCCTTTAAAAAATATTATTAATTAATTTATTTATTTTTGGCTACATCGGGTCTTGTTTGCTGTGCACAGGCTTTCTCTAGTTGCGGCGAGCGGGGGCTACTCTTCATTGCAGTGCGGGCTTCTCACTGCAGTGGCTTCTCTTGTTGTGGAGTGGGTTCCTGCCCTGGTCCGGGAAGATCCCACATGCTGCGGAGTGGCTGGGCCCGTGAGCCATGGCCGGTGAGCCTGTGCGTCCGGAGCCTGTGCTCCGCAACGGGAGAGGCCACAACAGTGAGAGGCCCACGTACTGCAAAAAAAAAAAAAAAATTAGGTGGTTTTGGACAAATTCCATATTTAATAAGTCTGTTTTTTGCTTCAAGGAAAGTTAAAAGTAACCTGGCCAGTCCTGGAGGGACAGAGCTTTGGAAGATACTGAGATTAGGTCCCAGGCTCTTTTTGAATGAATTCTTCCGGCTGTGTAAAACGGCA